TGATGCCCAGGAGCATCTTGTACTCTTGGTTCTGACTCTCCATCTCACACCGGATGCTGGCCAGCTCCTCCTCTACAGAGTTAATCTGGCCTTGGATTTGTTGCAGCAGGCAGCCGTAGCGAGATTCAGTTTCTGCCAAGGAGTTCTCCAGAGAGTTTTTCTGAAAGTGGAAATGCAGGAGTTTAGGACCAGAGCACTACCTCTCCCTGCGCAAGGAGGGAGTTTCCCATTCAGAGGAGGAAAGGGCCCTCAATGATCCTGCCCCACGTACCGTGCTGAGCTGTGCCTGCAGTTCGATCTCCAGGTTCTGCATTTCGCGTCTCAGTTCGGTGAGCTGGTGGCTGCTTGTCTGGATGTCCTGACTGCTGGAGGTGACCTGCTGATTGACTTCTTCAATCTGCCAGAGTCAAATACCAAACACACCCTCTGAGTGAGGAGACCCCCTCACGGAGCAGATCTGCTGGCTGAGTACTAAGGTAACCACAGTGCCTCTGCTTCTAATTCCCTCTTGCTGGAAGACAGCCTAGATGAATTGCTCCTCAGATCCTGACTTGCTACCCACCTTTGTACATCAGACCTGGCCTGGCCTGCTCCCTCTCTGCCACTGCCTTCCCCAACACCTTTTTCCTCGCAGTTCCCCGAGCTGCACAGGGGCAGGCTGGTGTTCCACCCAGCAGCCTCTTCTGATCACTGGCTGCCAAAGGACTCCTGTTCAGGTGAGCCGCCTCCCCAGTATTGCGTGCCTGGTACCGGAGTCTCTGTGTTTTTCCACAGAGGGAGACTGCACTCTGTGCATTGCTGCATACCTTGACTTCATACCACTGTTCCACCTCTCTGCGGTTCCTCTCAATGATCTGCTCGTATTCGTTTCTCAGGTCATTTAGCGTCTTTGTCAGATCTTCGCCAGGAGCAGCGTTGACCTCCACGCTCACGTCGCCACCGGTTTGGGACTGCAGCTGCCTCATCTCCTGCAGAGAGCGTGAAGAGAGGAGCAAAGAATACAGGTCACTTCTTCAACTAGGGAGAGCGGGACAAGCAGTGCGGAGGTACAACGGAGTAACATTCACATGGCATAAGTCTGGATTGACTTGGGAATCCTGAAAGGTCAGAAGAATATTTCTTGAAGATACTACTTATCATTGGCTCTTACCTCCTCGTGGTTTCTCTTAAGAGCCATCAGCTCATCCTTCAGGGACTCTAGCTCGGATTCCAGAGAAGACCTAACTAGAGTCAGGTCATCCAGGAGATTTCTCAAGCCATTAATGTCAGCCTCCACACTTTGACGAATGACCAGTTCATTCTCATACCTGTACCACACAGAAGAGAGACAGAGAAACGGGGAGATGAGCTGACAACTGTTGTCAGTAGCTCTCACCCTTCCTATGTCTGTATGCCAGTAGAAGAAGGTGGGGGCTCGGTCGCACCGCTGGAGGCAGTGCCTCGTCTCCTGACTTCCGTGAGCAGGACATGGAAGACATGCAAGGTTCACAGGGAGGCACTCACTTCATTCGGAAGTCATCAGCGGTCATCTTGCTGTTGTCGATGTCCAGCAGCAGTTTGTTGTTGTCCACAGTGGCAGAAATGATCTGCAAAAGAGTAAGTTGGAGTGGATTTTCCTTGTGCCCAGTGCATCCAGAAGAGGAAGAAAGGAGATACAAAGCTTTGGTAGGGCTTTCTTGCAGGTCTTGGGAGTTCTTTCCTGCAGCGATGCAGGGACCGCATGAGAGGGTTACTCTCCAAAAAGTACTTTCCGAGGAAACTCAGGTTATCACAGAGTCACCTCCAAAAGACCTAGTCTAAGCTCTTGTTGCTCAAGTTGGAGACGGTTCCCCAGGTGTGGCTGGGGAACGTATTCTGCCCTTTCTCTGTTAACTTGCCTCGTCTTGGTCTGTTTACTGTAATTTCTTGGTACCAAGGCAAGGTTTTGTGAGGGAAGGCCTTGGTGCTTCCAGCTGCTATACGTAGGAGTGTGCGGAGACAAAGGGAATTTAGATCTTGCAGTCCAGGTGCTGTGGCTTTGCACGCCATCCAGCTGAACTGGATTGGAGCGGAGGGAAAGACTGGAAACCGCACATCCCTGAACTGGAGCCACCAGTGCAACGTGGGATTTCAGTCACATGCACCAGCATGTTTGGGCCTAGGCTGGGGGATTGCTCCTCAGTCCCCTGCGCTGTGGCCCCAGAGCACTTCCCTTTCCCTTGTGGACTGGTGTGCGGGCTCGCTTACCCCAGAGGTGGGAGACATGGCTCCACCGGTTTCTGCCAGTGATGCCACCCGCAAGG